TACTGGTTGTTGATTTTCTTTCGGACCCCGCTAATTTCTAATTGGTTACCCCTGATTTAGAGGAGAGTTATTGGTCCCCCCCTTTAGCCCTCCCTTAGGGGCGCCCCTGGCAGCCTCTAAAGGTGACACAGATTATCAAACCGCCTGTGTTTTCATTTACTTACATGGTCCTGGTTCCGCTCGTTTCCAGGCAGTGCTGTGCGTAAAGACATTGTTCCTCCCTGAGTGAGTCCTCCAGGTGATAAATAAAAAAGCGTGCAGAGTTTATTTTTCCCAACTTGCTTAAAACGGAGAGAAAAAAAATCCAGCCAAGCTTGGAGAAGAGAAGCAGGAGGACAGCTTCAGTCCTTTGCAATCCTCATTCCTACAGTCCGTGAAGGCAGCGCAGGTCACCCAGACGGTGATCCAGATTAAAGTGATGCGTTAAAAACAAACCGGTATCATCCACGTCCACCTCATATTCCAGAGAAAATCACCACCCCCTGCTTCTAAATTAGCTTTCCACTTTCCTCCCCCCCTGAACCCCCCCTCACAGACCCTACCGGATCATTGCTCTAGAACCCGGCAAATCCTGCTGATCATCGGTTTACATTCAGCTGCATCATGCTGAAGCGACGAGGACGAACAACCGCTGAGGTTAAAATAAAAAAACTTACAGGAGGCTGATTCAGGTGCAAAAACCGGCAGTTGGTGCCCACCGTTAGCTAGCTAATGGGGGGTTTAATGAGCTCCGATAAATTAGCCCGTTAAATAGAACCAAACCCGGCTGAGACACAGTTTCTGGAAGTCGGCGGACAGCCACGGCCTCGGGATGTAAATCATTGACCAACTGCGGGTGTTAGAAAGGAAAGCGGCCGCCTCTCACTCAGTCCTTTCCCTGGCTCCTCTCTGCGGTCCAACCCGCCCTGTGGCTCTTCTCATTGTCGCGGTGAAATAAAACACGTCGGAGTGGGAACTCTGTGTCCAGGCGGTGTCAAAAACATTATTTGTTGCTATAAGATGGTTAAAAAAAAAGACGAATGAAAACGGAACCTTCCTATGCCCAGCTTTGAAGAGCCTCGGTGACAATGAGGGAGGGAGGGAGGGACGTCAGCAACAACAGGCAGGGCTGCTGCTTCACTCCCGGTGCCTTCAGGTGCCGCGCAGAAAATTGGACAGACGGCATGGAAAGCTATTGTTGCGTTTAATTGATGCTCGGACGCGCGAGTTTCCGATTTTAACGGTGGAAGCTAAATGAAATCTGCATTAGAATAATCCTGAAGGTTGGAATTCCACTCTTTTGAATATCAATTGATTTATTTATCCAAAACATACACTGACCGAGTTGATAAAGAAATGCATTTAATTTCATAATCTAATTCATGTTACATTTTTAGATATAGGCCTATGTATGGATTCAAATACATCAAAATGCAATAGAACAATGTGAAAGAAAGTCACTATTGGGGTAAATGTAAACAAATCAACAAATTAGCAAAGGTTATGGCACTAAATTTATAACAGACACAACCAATGGGGATCAAAACAGAGGGCCAATAAACTAAAACACAGTTTGAGTGAATCAATAAACAATTAATATGCATAACTAACGTGTTGAATTCATCAACCATGACAGAAGACATGTTTGAGTGTGGTAATTGAATTTTTGACTACTTGTCCTATCAGATTGAGGTCAGGGCTTTCTGCAGGCCAGTCAAACACATCCACACCTAACTTTCTCATTCATGTCTCTACCAGCCTTACTTTATGCAGTTATGATGGAGGAGGAAACTGGGTGTATCCAAACTGTTCCCAGAAAGGTGTGGCAAGGAATTGTCCAAATTGTCTTCTGTTTAAGCTTGTAGAATCCCTTTCACTGGAACTAAGGTACCAAGGCATCCAGTTCTCCTGGCTAGCACCAAACCCAGACTTATGAGTTTGTCATATAGAGAAGCAGAGTTCATCACTCTGGATAACCCACCTCCACCATCCAAGAATCCAGTGGTTGACTGCTTTCCACAGCTGCATCTGATGCTTTTATTGCACTCTACAGTATGGCTTGGCTGCAGCTGGTGGGCCATGAAAGCCAACCCATGAAGCTCCCTATACTTTGTTCTTGAGCTGGTCTTAAGGCCACATAAAAGTCAGCATCAATCTCTTCCACCTGATATCACAGATGATAGTGGTATAATCAGAAGCAAGAATATTGAACAACTGGACTTTCACGTTCCCATTTCTGGAATTCATTGCAGATGTTTCTAAAAACAGTTTGCATGCTTAGAAAACCTGATTCCCATTATTTTAAAAAATGAGGTACTATTTTTGGCTAGGTCTGCCATGGATATCGGCCCAAATTTCTACTCTCTTAAAATGTACATCCCTAATTAATTATATTTAGCTGAAAGGAAAAAAAAAAAGTTTATTTCTGGTAATTTCCCCAACTTCTGACAGTTTAACATAGTTTATACCCACTGCTAGAAAAAAAAAAGTACCTTAAACATTTAAAACTATTTTTACAATATGACGCCTAAATACAAGTACATAATTTACTCTCATAGATTATTTTCTTTTTTATAATAAATGCAAGAATGCAACCATTAGGAGAAAAGGGTATACACAAACACCTGCTGATTTAATGTGGTACTGTAGCAATCTGAAAAGGTTTATCAAATTTAAACTCAAAGAGAAATTATTGAAACAGAGACTCTGATGGAATTAAATTCAATCCGGGAAGTGTTTTTTTATTTTTCAAAGTACAGACACAGTTATCTCAAACACGGAGCCAAACTGGATTAGAAGTGACTAAAGCAGAATATCATTTTAAGCGCCTGACCTCAAGCCTGTCCATGGTTCATCGGTTATGCATTAAATTTAATCAATCACCCAGAATAAGAATAATCTAATAATACAGAAACTAAATGATAAATCTCTGTTGTTGGCTGATGTATTTAAACTTCATGCCTTGCTCGATTACTAAGATATTGTAATTCTTTAATTAGATAAAGAATTTGGAATCTAATAAACTCATCTGGAGATCCTTCAGTAAAGCTTTCAGAACAATTAGGAGAGATGAGAATATTGAGCTTGATTAGATTTATTATAGCAAAAAAAGATCTTACCTGGACAGAAGTGAACATGTTGGAGCGTATCCAAGGCCTCATCGCTCCTCAGTAGCCGCACACTTCCCAGTTATTCCTGAGAGCCCCGCAGACTGAAGGGAGCAGAGGATGGTGGGACAACATGCAGCGGGGCAGAGCTCTGCTGTCGTAACGGCTGCAGGATCGATGCCGTAAAAATCAACTGCAGAGTTTCAGCCACCGAGTTTGAACACAGTGTTTCTGAGAACATCATCTGCATCACGGTCCGGTCATCTGTGAATAAACTAATTAAAAGGAAAAAGCCTGAACCTGTCGATACTTTAATGGGATTTAGAAAAGACGAGGATGTGGTGGTCTGTTCCTATTGGTCTTTACACTCATTTCTAAATGTAGAAAGCCGTCAGATTTGTGCAAATCGGAACACATCAGCAGGAATGGATCCAACTACAAACCACAGCAGATATAAAGGAAACCAAAGCATACACTACATGGCTCACTGTTCTAGTTGGCATGGGAGGTTCTAAACAGGGGCCAACAGGGGTCAGCGGCTCTGAAGAACTGGTCCAGGCCCCTGTAGTGAAGACATAATAATAGATTTTATAATAAACAAATAACAGCCACACACATATATATAGACAGTAAATGATAACTTCCTTGGAACAGTTTTATTCTAACAATGATGGGAGAATTAAGATGTTGCACTTTTAGCTTAAGTCATATTAAGGTTTTCTTCTATTATATCTGAGGTTTCCAGAGCTGGTTCTCTTCAAACAATGATCCATTGCCCTGTTTGTTTCATCCTTTCGTTAAGTTTCCCCCATGAAAATAAAAAATGGCCCCACCCTGCTTCCTGTGCTAAATTTGGTCTAGAACCACCTCTCCAGGACACATCTTTAGCTTAGAATAATGCAAACAAATGTTCTAGGCTGAGAACACAGGCCTACTGAGCTCAACCCCAATAAGCTGGTGATAATAGGTGCTGTCTCTGCCAATCCTCGCTGCAGTTGCTCTGACGATGCCCTGACCTGTAATCTGGAAGGGATTACAGCCGGTTTGACCTACTGTACACCCGTTGCCTGTTCCTGCAGTCCATTTAGATAGCTCCTGATGTCATTCATCAGGGATTTTAAAATAAGTGTAGCAGAAACTGAAAAACACAAATGTTCCTCACTTTAGTGAGAACTTGGCAGCTTGTGTTTTATATGTAAAAAAAATAAAATAATAATAATAATTTCTTCATTCCAAAGTGATAAAACAAACAAGAGGCAAACAGCTGGATAAAATGGAGAAAATTATCACTATTTTAAAATAATCATAGAAATAACACTAACATCAAAGAAACTGAGTGAATCCCAGTAAGAGTAAAACACCTGTGCCCTCTACTGGTAGGTGAGAATATAGCATTTTTCAAGATAGACTAGTATAGCATCCAGTTTAGAGCACCGATCTCTATTTATTCACTGGATTGCTGATTGCCAATTGGTAGTAGGGGGTTGAAGTGGATCCACTGGCCGCCATATTGGTACTCCCTAGTTAGACCGGTCTCAATATAAACAGTATGTGCGCTACAGCATCAAACAGTGAGGATTTTCTAATTTTCAGGGGGACTTAAGACTTTTAAAATAAAGATAAATTCATCACTTTGACACATACTTGCTGTTTCATAGCATAACTAGATTACTTTAACTTCTAAAATAAAAAATAGGCATATCACATTAAATACTCAGTATTAGAAAAAATGAATGGTAATTTAGCATAATAATACTGAAGTGCCAAAAGTGCTAAATTGCTGATGCACATGTAATATACATGTATTGATGACATTATTGTTGTTATATTACATTTAATTTACATCAAGACTGAATTACAAGTACATGTCTGCTAATGCTATAGTATTTTCCTATTTGCTAATTGTGCATGAATGAAGCAATATACCTTTATGCTGTGTCTGTACATCAGCCTTTAAAAATGTTTGAGTTGCTTTTTTTCAACAATATAACATGCAATATATTTCATGACTTTTTCAAATGACAAATGCAACAAACACTACAAAAACGACAGCGTCACCCACTTAATAAAGAATTACTACATTGACATTTCACAGTGAATGACTTTCTATTTTCTAACATTAGACACAATGTCAATGACTAACTCAGACAATGTCTTCCAGTCAGTCCTAGATAGCCAGAATAATGTTGGCCTACATACTATACTGTAGGATACATTGGTGTATATATGGATTTTTCTTTGTTAGTATATCCACTGACTGTGAAATTACCTGTGGAACGTCTTCCCACAGCTGGCAAACTGCTTGTTTTTGCAGCCAAATGCTACACATGAAGGCATTTTAACTGCACATCTCCGTGGAAGTGGGGAGTACCAACATGCTGGCCGGTGGCTTCACTTTTTTCAGGCAATCAGCATTTCAGTGAATAAATAGAGATCAGTGGTTTGGAGTGAAAAAGCAAACCAAACAATATTGCAAGCAGAGAATTTATCTGCAGATTATCACATAGTTAGAATACAAATAGACAAAAATACACAAAACCCAGAGCAGGTGGTCAAGTATGGACAAAAACGGTTACCCAAGCACACCAGGAATTGTTAAGTAAATCATTTTATTTTCATTTGTAAAGAGCTGGGAGACGTTTCCCAGTCAGGCCTTTAGCTCTTACCCATATGCTTTCTATAGTATTAAGATCAGAACTTTGCAATGGCCTCTGTTCCTTAAGTCATTTAATGACAAACCAGTGTGCATTATAAGGGTCATTGCTCAGTTGGCACCAAACCGTTACTTGAGGTTTTGGGATATCTCTCAGTACATTTACATTTTAAAGTTATTTTCTTAAGGGAACATCTATTTTGCAAAATGCACCACTTCCTCCAGCAGCAAAACACACACAGAAAATTATGTGGCATCCAATTTATGTCACATTTTGTTGCAGTGCAAGCCACATTTATCTATTTATTTATTTAATCTAAGTTTCATCAGACTACTGGATATTTGTCCAGAAATCCAAGTCTTTATTTAAGCTTTTTGTTGTTGCTTATGGAGTAATGTGTGGCCTTTATGCCCAAAAAAGCAAACTATTTACAGTTTTTTTCTTTATGCTTTTACTCTGATATTGATTCATTTTGCACCAAAAAAGTGTATTCTCTAGAACATAGAAAGTGTCTCCTTTTTTTTAATGAAAATCCCTAGTTGTTTCTACGTGGCTATAGCTCGTTGTTCATCTTGTACAGATCAATGCAGCGACTTCAGGCATCTGGGGATTGTACTTGTATATTTATTTTCCCAACTGTTGTAGTTGGTTCAAATCCATATGAATCCACAGATGTGCACATGTAGAGAGGAATGGAGCTCACTGAAAGAATTACGAAATGAATAATCACAGATCATGTGATTTAGACCAGATAGTTGTCAGAAATCTATAAATTTTTTTCAAACATTTTATTTAAATTAAAGAACATCCGATTGAAGAGTACAAATGTGTCAGGGGATGTGCCTTAGCAGACAAGAACATGTATATACCATAGCAAGAGGGACAGAAAAACAAACAAAACATAAATGCCAGTATATATAGATATATATTTTCTATGATAATAAGCTGTTCAGAACTGAAAGTTAAAAACAAATTAATTTGTTGTTGTTTTTCTGTTTGTGAGTCAAGGTTTCACTTTTGTCTAAGTTCACATTTAAAAAAAGCATTAAGGCGTGGCTTTTTCTTTGGACATTTAAATTTATGTAAGTGGAATTTCTGTAGGATAACTAAAAGATTGATAAAGAAAATCTTTGGATGCTCTTAAGCAGCCGCTTCCACTAATAATGGCCATTTAATGGTTTATCACATGCAAAACGGGTGCAGCCCATTTTACTCTACAGCTGAAAACCAAACAGAATGTATTTTCCTACAGCAGCTGAAAATCTAAAATATTTGAATCCACATTGTAACAGAAATGTTGCTAGAAGGTTTTAGAGTGTGGACACTACATGAAGAAACTAAGAAAGATCACATGAAGTGCAGTTCACAATAACGCCAGACTTAAATTTTTCAGGTAGTGTTTGGCAGGATAAACCCTGTGAATGTTGTACATTTGATAATAGGGAGAAAGTGATGCCAGAACCATTTTAAAAGAGTTCTGGAGGTGACCACCAGGAGTCTCCTTTTCTCTTCACTGATGCTGCATGATGCTGTGCAGAGGGCACAGATGTTTTACTCTTTCTGGGATTCAGTCAGTTTCTTTGATGTTAGTGTGGCAGTAAAAAAAAAAACTTTAGAAAATATGTTTTCCCCTTTATTTCTATTATTTTAAAATGTCGTGAATTGGATTTTTTTCTACCTCCTTTTTTCTCTTAGTATTTTTTTTTTTTTTTGAGAGACACAGATGCATCTGCAGGACAAAGAAACTGAAAAAAAAACCCACAGAGAATATTTTCTGTAGTTTCTTCTTCCGCACCTGCAGAGCAAAACTCTTCAGTCATCTAGGAAGATCAGTCGGGTCCGGTTTTACCAGAACTCAGCTTAAAGGCAGCACTGTTTTCAAGTAAGAGGTAAGATTGGATTTAAAACTATTTAAAAATGAACTCACATTGATGTTATACACATAAAAATATTAGCATACACATAAATGCTGAAACTCTCTGTATTTCAAACATATATATATATATATATATATATACACATATATATACATATATGTACATATATAAATCTGTATGTATATATATGTATATTTTATATGTATATATATGAATATATATGTGTGTTAAAAAGTGAAAGAAGACTTTAATAAATGTTTTTTTCAATGACTTTTTTTGTATTTAGATGTTTGGATGTGCATTGCTGCAGCTGATGATGCTGGCAGCTCTAACTCTGGCCTCTCTGGGCCTGCTGGCCTGGGCGTCGGACCTCTGCCCGGCCCGCTGCCAATGCTCTGAGAACCAAACCACTGTTACATGTCATGGTAAAGGACTGAGCCAGATACCCCCACTGCCAGCAGGAACATTGCAGTTGTTCATCTCGCACAACAAGATCAAGGAGATACCTGAACACGGGCTGAACGAACTGCAGGTACAGAGCTGCACTCTGTTTTCGTGATGAATGCAGGTTATTGTGGCTTGTTGGTTAAAGGCTGCAGCCGGATTCTCTGTACAAGCATAGAAAGCAAAACCTTCTGAAACTAGCTGACACACATACTGCAGTGGCAAAAGGTCTAGGCAGTGAAACGCTTTCTGGTGTTTTTTAGACTTTCTAGAGTTGGTTCTTTATAACTAAAGCTGTTCTCTCTGACGTGCTGGATGTGATCAAAACCTGACTTGGGGCTCAAAGTACATCAAACTTTGCTGTTTTTTGTTTCCCTACTTCCCTTCTTTTTAAATCTTCTGAGTCATTTAATTACTTTACACTTCAGGGTCCAACATGATGAAAATCCTCAAGATAATCACCAAACTGTCCATGTCGAGGCTGAGAATTTGACCTAACTCTTTATGCATAGTAGTGTTCTTCAGCAGAACTAGGAGCAATTCTAGTCACACTTGGTTTAGATCAGGTTTCTTTATTGTTGGGTCCCGTTTGTTCCCTTATCCTTTCCAAAACGATCAGGAGGATTTCCAATCTCCTGCAGTCCACGTTGTTCTTCCTGGAGAGTTTTAGGATGTTTGTAGTTGCAAAGAAGTACCTTTCTTCTTGCTCTTCTACTATGTACAAAGGTTGTTTTTTTTTTAGTTTTTAATGCACTGTTTTTCTGACAGTAGGCTGACAGGAAATGATGGTATGAGAGAGGGGGAGAGACATGTGGCAAAGGACCACAGGTTGGTTTCTAACCCGGGTCGGTCACATCGAGGACTAAACACTAAGCACTGCGTCACCCGCACAGCCTGTACAAAAGTTTTGCCCTTACTGTCGATGCGGGTGCATTTGTGCCAGCTGCTCTGCTCTGGTGAGCATATTTAAGGGATCAAGGTCTGGGATCCCTTAAAAAAATATATTTTTTTTAACTTGAAGGAGATCTTCTTGGTAAAATGAAAGGTTTATTAACTGATGGAAGAGACCAAAACCCTTTCTTCTAGTCACACCATACAGACAGCAACCCTATAGATGGAATACATGTTAGAATGGCCTAGTCAAAGTCCAGACCAGAATCAAATCAAGATTGCATGACAATGATGGAAAATTTTTCCAATCTAACAGGGCGAGATGTTTTTGAAAAAAGAGTCTTGTAGAGACACCCAAAAAAAGACATGCAGCTGTAAATGCAGCAGCAGCCGGTTCCAATGAAAACTACTTCAGGGAGGCTAAAGAGACTTTCACACCTTCATATCTACTGTGGATATAAAACTCAATGGTTAGATGTATAGAAATGCAGAGAAAATGTTTGTTTGTTTGTTTTTTGGAATAAAACTCACTTCACTGAAATTCTTTAAGCAGACATTTGGCTTGATGTGCACAATACTTTTTAAAAATAAGGGCAAACGTTTCACCACAGCTGTAGATCACAACAGTCTGTTTATTCCAACATCATGAGTAAGAAATGTAGAAATGTGTATCTAGGTGTTAAAAACATCTCTAACCTGCTTCCTGTGCAACTTTAGGTCCTGGACCTCAGACAGAACCAGCTTTGTAGCTTTCTAAAACTCAACCCAGTTTGGCCCAGTATGACCCAGTTAACAAGGCTGCTCCTTCGTGACAACGCTCTGACATCACTGCATTGGGGGCAGTTCCTAAACTGTCCCTCTCTTGTCTTCTTGGATCTGAGTAAGAACCGGATCAAGCATCTAACAGAAGGATTCCTCAGCGACTTAGCTAGTCTAAAGACGCTGCTTCTGAGCCACAACCAGATCGAAACGCTGCAGGAGGGGGTGCTGGATGGAGCCCTCGGACTCACTGAGCTCTGTCTGGACTTTAACAGTTTAAGGCAAATAGAGGGTGGCGTCTTCATGAAATCCAAGAGACTGGAGAAGCTTGTTCTGTCTAACAACCAGATCATACAAGTTGGAGAAGCCACTTTCAGAGGAGCAGTGGGTCTTAAACATCTTGATCTGAGTGGTAACCGGCTGCAGGCTGTTCCATCGGAGGCGCTGAGGGATTTAAAGAAGCTTCAGCTTCTGAATTTGGGGCTAAACCATTTGTTCACCCTTCCAGCAGACGGCTTCCCCTCACTGACTCAGCTGCTTCATCTCTGCTTGAAAAGAAACAACCTGACCAGTCTCCCGGAGAGCTCCCTCTCAGGTCTGGTTAATCTGAGCGAGCTGGATCTCAGTCAAAACTTTCTATCTTCTCTTCCTTCTGATGTTTTTAGAGACCTGGTCAACCTCAACCTTCTGGATCTGTACATGAACCGACTGACAGAACTTCCCCCTGATGTTTTCAGAAACTTAATCAATCTGTCAGAGCTGCGGCTGGATGGAAACAACATCTCCACACTCCCGTCTGGGGTTTTTCACACGCTAGTCAAACTACAAGACTTAGAGTTGTCTCATAACCACATCCTGGAACTCCATCCTGCCCTGTTCACCAACCTCATGTCTCTGCAGAACCTTCAACTGGCTCACAACCATCTAAAGCAACTTCCTGAGGGCCTTTTTCACAAGCTGCAGGCCCTCAAAGAGCTGCACCTGGATGATAACCACATCAGTTCCCTCCACCCATCAGTCTTCCATGGATTAATGAGAGCAACCACAGTGAGCCTCTCCAACAACCAGCTTTCATCTCTACATCCTGACCAGTTCAGGGATCTTTCTGGGTTAAAAGAGTTAAAATTGGATAGAAACCAGATTGTTAAACTCCCCTCTAACTTGTTCACCACTCTTGGAAAACTTGCAACACTAGATATGGGCAACAATAACCTCACTAAGCTGTCTTTCCACAGCTTTGAAGGGCTGAAGAAACTTAAAAATCTGCGAATGAGCTTCAATCCGCTTCAGAGTGTTTATTGCAACGCCTTCCAGAACCTCGGCAAGCTCCGCACTCTTCTGCTGCAGAGCAACAGCCTGGAGAGCTTACATCCGGAGCTCTTTGAACCACTAACTAAGCTAAAAGAACTGAACCTGGATGGAAATAAGCTGGCCCACCTGGATCCTGGGGTCTTTCAAGGGCTTAAAGACCTCCAGGAGCTAAGCCTAAAGTCAAACCAGCTTAGGTCCCTGCAGAAAGAGACTCTGGACCCTCTAAAAGGATTGAAAAGCATCTACCTCTCAGATAATTTGTGGAATTGCACATATAGCAGTATATTCTACCTATGCAACTGGGTCACCGTGCACAGAGAAAAAGTGAGCGATAAGCCCGCCTGTTACTCCCCCTCCAGGACTGAGCGCCCTCCTCCCCCACAGTCACCGCGCTTCTTACTGGATTACTGTGCTGCAGCTGCTGCACGATGCCCTGCTTTGCTTCCTCTAGAACTGCTGAGCGTGCTCGCACCTTCTCTCATTGCTGCCGCCTTCTGTCACCTATGAAGTGGTCCAAACTTTCCGTACGCCCTCTTCCTTATTTGTCTGCACTTATCATTAGAATTTACATTGCATGGGCCAAAGAAAAAAATCCAAAATGTCTGTGCAAAACATAGTTTGTTCAACCCCTGGCAAAAATTATGGAATCCCTGGCTTCAGCGGATGTTGATTGTTTAATTTTTTTAGAAAAAAAGCAGATCACAGACATGACACTAAAGAAAGTCATTTCGAATGGCAACTGTCTGGCTTTAACAGAAATAAAAAGAAAATGTGGTAGTCAGTAACAGTTACTTTTTTAGACCCAGCAGAGGACAAAAATACTGAATCACTCAATTCTGAGGAAAGAATTATGGAATCATGAGAAACAAAAGTCACTCCAACACATCACAACACCTCTGGCTTTTATAATGGCTTGTAGTCTCTGAGGTATGGACTTAATGAGTTAAACAGTACCCTTCATTAATCTGGCTCCAACTTACTCTGATTGCTGTTGCCAGATCAGCTTTTTCAGGTTGGATCCTTGTCATGAGGCATTTTATTCAACTTCCACCAAAGATTTTCAATTGGATTAAGATCCAGACTATTCGCAGGCCATAACATAAACCTTATGTGTCTTTTTTTCAAGGAATGTTTTCACTAGTGATGTTGTGAGATGAGGCGAGGCTTCAAAGGGGGCGTTTCCGCGAGGTGTGTGTTGAGGCTTGTTTCATTTGGGGGAGGAGTCAAAATAGATGACGTCCGAAGCCTCGCTACCCTACTGCTTCAGGAAGTGGTTCAGCTCGCCCGGAACTTCTGCAGGCATTTAAACAGCCTCTGTGTTCAATCAGGTGTGGGAGTTTGTAGTTGAATAGAGTTTGGATACAAACTGAGAATAGATTGGTTGGAAAAACAACTAATCTAGTTGATTAAAACTAGTTTGGTTAGATTAAACAATGTAATGATCAAAATCTGAGCGAGCCACTGGTTACAAATGTAATGGGTTTTAAGTAGTACCTTATTACTTCCTCAAGAGTTGCCACCTTGCTAGTGACTTCAGCTGTAAGAGGTAGACATCTACTTCTGAGTTTGTTGCTTCTGCACTTACCTCAGACTTTTGAAAGTTGCAAAAATATTCCGCAAGTATTTGGGCTAAAGTTACTCATTTTTATTGTTTTGCCCTAGTATAAATATAGATTGGGTAAAAATACTACCAAATTAGAATTAGAAATCATAATTTGCACTTTCACTGTCTGCTTGAGCTTATTTAACTAAAATGGCAGAAAAACAGGGAACCTCAAATTATTTTTCTCTTCTAAGACCTTTTACACACAAACAAACTTACGAAACATTTTATTATACAGACAAATCATTATCAATTTCAAACGAACTTAAACGGGGAAAAAATACAAGAAGAACAACTGCAAAAAAATCGCAGATTATATTTCTAACCGTAGTTCTGCCCTTCACCAGTAGGTGGTGACATGTTTAGATGAAGCTTCATGAACTGCGGGGATCGTTGAAGCAATTTGGCAAAACGATTCAATGTTTCGTGAGGCTTCATCTCACCATCACTATTTTTCACAGTTTTCGCTCTATAACAAAATGCATCATCATATTGAAAATGACTTCATCATCACTAAACATCCTTTCAACTGATGGGATAAGAAAAGTGTCCACAATCAAATCAAAAGGTAAACTTGTGCATTTGTTGAAGATGTAATTACAGCCATCTCCCCAGTGGCTTTAACTGACATGCAGCCCCATAGCATCAATGACTGTGGAAATTTGCTTGAAATCTTCAGGCAGTCATCTTTATAAGTCTAAGTGGAACGGCACCAGAATAAAAATGTCAGAATCATCCTCTTGCCCAATGCAGATTCCAGATTCATCACTGAATACGACTTTCTTCCAGTCATCCATAGTCCATGATTGCTTAGCCCATTGCAACCTTGTTTTTTTTCTGTTGAGGCGTTAATGATGGCTTTCGTTTAGCTTTCTTTTAGGTGGTTTCTTGCAGTTTGGTCACAGACATTGATTCCAGTTTCCTCCCATTCGATTCTTGTTTGTTTTGTTGTGCATTTTTGTTTTTTTAAACATATTGCTTTAAGTTTTCTGCCTTCATGCTTTGATATCTTCCTTGGTCTACCAGTATGTTTGCCTTTAACAAACTTCCCATGTTGTTTGTCCAGATTTTAGAGACAGCTGAATGTGAACAACCAACATCTTTTGCAACATTGCGTGATGATTTACCCTCTTTTAAGAGTTTCATAATCCTATTCTGTGTTTGAACTGACATCTACTGCTCTAGGTGCAGCAGCTCTTCAAAGTGTGATTCCTCCTTCTTTGATGCAGATTAACAAGCAGGTCCCTTTTGATGCAGTTGTTAGTTTTGGGGATATAAATTTACGGTGTAATACCATAATTATGTCCTCAGAATTGAGTGATTCCATATTTTTTTTCCCCTGCTTGGTCTAAAAAAGTAATTGTTACTAATTACCACACTTTTTTTTCTTGATTTAATTTAGTGTTTCTTTAAGCCAGCCATTTGCAATGATTTTAGTTTGGCGTCATGTCTGAGATCTGTATTTTTTCTACAAAATTAAACAACTGAATGAACATCCTCCGACGCCGGGGATTCCAGAACTTTTGCCGGGGGTTGTAAGTGTTTGTACCTCTTTAAGGTGCTTACATGTTGTCACATCACTACTGTTTATTTTTAAGGATTTCAAAAGTGGTTTTACAAACAGATTGTAATAAGTGTGTGGTATTGATTTGTATATGTTGATTTTAAATCAGTGCTGTGATTGTTGTCCAAAGTGTGGCTCTCGGGCCATCTGCAGCCGCCAGAAAGATTTGTCTGTGAACGCAACAAAAGAATGGTTCCTGTTTAAATTTTGTTTTAACTTTAGGGCGATAATTTTCCCGAGACAGGTAAAAGGTTTAACTCCCCCAGGCCAGTAGGTGGCCTGCTCTCGTTCCAACCTTCAATTATACCTTTTACCAGATCTGCTAATGCTATTGCTAACCTTGGTTAACATTAGCAACCTCCATGTGGCTGTTGAGCTCATAGACATTATATATGTAGAAGCCTCATTGGACGCTGGCCGACATGCCTAGAGGGCGGCCATCTTGGATCAGATCACAGTTCAGGCAGCTGCTGTCAGAATGAATAGGAGGCGCCTTAAATCTCATTTTAATAACATGAAAGACGACTAAGAGATAATATTACAACAATCTCTTACCTCACAACCCCTTAAAAGACCAAAACAAATTTAAAAATTATCTTCCAGTTAGATTGAAATATTCAGATTAAACATTATTTTAACTGAACTCAAACTGGATGAAATATATGTTCTCGCAAATATTTGGCAAATAAATATTAATATGATGAACAT